CCACATGCCAGCAGACATCCAGCTCTAATAATTTTCCTTTAAGAAGCTTACAACGCAGTGAAGAATATCCTCTCGATTATCTATAGGTGGCAAATGTCACCATGCTGATTTTCAAATGAAGAGGTTGGGCGGGCCATGGGAGGCTAAATGATATTCTTATAGCTGTGAAACTCTTTTGTGGAAAAACTCAGGCAGGCCATTGGAACCATCTTATGTTTTAAATCAAATATAAAAGTGTCAAAACCAAATCATTTGCAAACAAGTACCCATTCCACATAGCAAAGTTAACTTGGCTATAGTGCATTTACTGTAACATTTTAAACTGATCCCCTATTAGTTGTTTACTAATAATTTATTTAAAGAAAGCAATATTTTCTCCCTAAAATCAGGATTTCTACATGAATGATGGCATCATGCCGTACATGGCATTAATAATATGATCTCATTATTTTTGTATGTTATTTATAACAGAATAAACTTTTAAAAATCCTTTACTATCAATGTCATAATCACCCTCCTCCATTTCTTTACCTAACCACCAAGGAAAAGACAAGTCTCCTTTTCCATGTTATGTAAGCTTTGCAAAGGAGCGCCAAGAGAGAGAAATGCAATCAAGGCTATCCAAATAAAGTCTCCTTCTAAAGCAATACTCAGATAGACTTAGCCGGCAAAGTACATGGGGGAGGGAGGTGGGAAGAGACAGTACTTCACCCTTCCTAGGCTCATTCAACGTTGAATAGTAGTCTCACATTTCTGTGCCATTGCAGACTATTCTAAAACCTTGCCTAATCTCCTTCCATTCTGAGCCTCAACCATCATTTATGAAGAAAGAGAATCTAAAGAGACAACTAATAGTGTTGGAAATTAAATTTAAAAAATAAAATCTGGAAAATATCTGAGATGATATTGAGAAAAACGTTTTGGAGAGGGGTAATATTAAAATGAAAATTAAAAAATAGAATCAGGGTCATCTTTCTAAAATAAGATCTGCAATATCCATAATGTTAATTACTACAAATCACAGGCCACCAGTTTCACTATAAGCTAGTAACATACAAAGTATATATTTTCCAATTAGCCAATTAACATTTAAGTATTATAACACAACTTCTTGGCGAGTTTCCTTTCATTTTCTTCATTCAAAAATATTTGTGGGACACTGACCACATGCCTGGCATTGTGCTAAGCAACCTTTGTTTTCTTTTACAAAAAAACCTCACACAACTCTCCTTGAAGGAAGAGGCTGCTCTCTCCCAGCTACAGCCTTGCTGTCCACATGATATTTGTAAATGTTTGACCAAGTACCAAGGCTGTGAAACATTTTCTCACCTCATAAAGTTATGTGAAACACAAGGATAGAACTGGCAATCTAGCCTACGCATGGATTCAATCACAGAGAGGGCAAATGTTCTTCCCTAAACAAAATTGCTCCTGTGAGAAATGATAATGATGATAGCAACAACAACAATAATAAACTCCCAAAACAAGTGCAAACAGAAACATGCAACCAATTATTTAAGAAGAAAAAAGGAAAGAATGAAAAGCATCACACCGAGAACAGTTACATTCTCATCTTTGGGGAATATTCCAGCCAATTGCCTCTACCTCTGAGCTATTTTTTTTCTCAAGCACATAGCTGAGACTGAAACCTCTACACTCATCTTTGAAAGCCCTTCTCATGTGCTACCTCTCAAGGACTCCTAGGGACCAGCCACATTTGCACACTGCTTCCTGCAGTCTTAGTCCAAGACTAAGGCCCAGATCACATGTCATCCTTTTGTGGAACATTTCAGATCCTTCCACTAGGAACTCTCTCCATGACTCTTCCTCCCAAAACTTCTAAGGCAAATTATTTATACTTCTCATGACACCATTGACGCTGATTTGATTCCTTGGTTTATGTCAATTTCAGTCACTGGGATGTGTTACTTTAGGGCAGCAAAGATGCCTCCATCTTGGTAAGTGTGAGGTAATGTACTACATTATTTCCTATTTAATTATGCTGTGAAACCTTAAATAGTCTATAGCTGCCATATAACTTTATTTTTTAAAAAGCTTAGCAAAATTGGCTAAAAATGGTTCTTTGCATTTACATCAATAGTGTCACCTGGAAAACAAAAATTTCAAAATGTCAGCTGTTAGTTTGTTTAACATCACTGTTGTACATTTTTTAAAAAGATCATTGTCCAAGTTTTTTCTTGTCACTGTTGTCATGACGACAAAATTTATACCTACTTCTGCATATTAGCTGCTCCAGAAAAGCTCAGAATGACAAGAATGTTGGTTGGCTTCCCAAACATAGCTCTAAAAAGATCTCCATTTTCCTTTCACTCCTAAATTCTTTGGTGACAATAAAAAGCAGGAATATTTCTGTTTTCCATACTGCCTTATCCATTAGGAGTTATTTTCAGAGTAGAAATAGCAACACGGCCTATAAAAGTCATCACATTTGGCTAAGGCACTGAAAATAACGCAGGTCTCCCAGCATGTTTCACAGCAAAGACTATTAATACGATCCTATTGAATAAGGTAGCTCTTACCAAGCTTTACACTTGGGATGCTTTCAGGATTTAAACTAAGCTAAGAACAAGAATCACAAACTAAATTTAAAACACTCCACAAAAATGATATTAAACTGAAAACTATAAATTAAACTTGTTTCTAAGCAACATTCTAAATAGTCAAAGCTTAGTGAAAACACTCACTTTCAAAAATAGCCTACTGCTTTGGAGCTTCCATTGGCTCCTTACTGCCAAATGTATATATAAAAATGCACAATAAGTAAACCAATTTAAAATTAAATAAATCTCTAAAATGAAAAGAAAGAATCGTTCATTAAATTAAAAAAAATCTTAAGTCTTTTGTTGACAAGAACTCAAAATGCATAAAATCGCCTTTGATTTTTAAGGAGCAATTATGATGACAGAAATCATTCCTCTACCCTACCTATTCTTTAATTTAAAAGTCAGTCTACAGGTCAAGTGCCTATGAGAGGATCATGCCTTATTAAGTCAAAACTATTTGGAAAAGTAAAATAAAATGCCCTGTTTACTGTATAAGAAGCCATCACCAAAATTTTACTAAAAAGTCAAAAGCTATTAAAAAAAAAAAAAAACCCTATTAGATTACGAATCTTTGGTTCATCTCAGAACCCTAAAGGATTCTATAGAAATAACAAAGGAGGTTCACTTTCACAGATTTTCCATGGCCATTCCCATTAACAAGGGTGAAATAATCAAATCTCCAACTATCAGCAGTGAAAATCAGACACCTGAAAAATCTAAACAGCAGAGAAGGAACACTGACCTTGTTAACAAAAAAAATCTGCTTGGAGACCAAGGTTTGTTTACAATATAACCAAATAAAACTATATATCAGCTACAGACCATAAATCAGCTGTTTGTGTTTGGTTTAATTGCCAAGTGATTAAAGTATTGAGGGTAGTAGAAAGAAGCCCATTCAAGGTAGATTCAACAAATTCAACCTTCCTGCGGAATAAGAAATACACTCATACACCCCTACCTCTCTCCCTTCCCTTACCATCTCTTGGGGATGAAAGCACCCCATCATTTCAACTTCCTAGAGAAGCTTGTTGTCTTAATAGCTAGTTCCCTTATTGTACCTCAGAGAAGGGAACTGATTCACAGTGGAAAGGTTTCATTTGAAATCTTAAGAAAGTACTCATTTTCCATGCAAGGAATGAAAACTCAATTTTCCCTAAAGTTTCAAACCAAAACTTGCCAGTTTCACAAGTGGAAATCAGCACTCCTCCTCCCCCTCTTTTTCCTTTCGTTCCTCGGCTCAGCTCCTTTCATTTCACCCCAAGTACCTTCTTCCACACCTCTCCTGTCCCTCTCCAGAAAGCCCTACCTCCAGAGGTGGGAGGAAGTTAAAGCGGCCCTGGCAGTTTACGCCTGGCGCTGCCCTCAGCTGCTCTGGCACCGACTCCGCTCAGGTGGTGGGAGGGAAGGAGGGGGCGTCCACGCCCGGCTCTCTCCATCCCACCCGGAATCCTCGGCGAGAGCAGCCGGATCGGGCCAAGAGTGGGAGGCGCACCCAGATCTGCCTTTCTCTGCAGATGCTTGCAGCTCCTGCGAAGCTGCTTCCCAAGCCCTGAGAACGTTTTCCACCCTGGAAATGTGGGTGCAGCCCTCCTCCAAGGTGGCAGCTGGAAACCACTAGCGAGTTTCTGCACGGGGGTATTCAGGGGGTGAAAGTGAGGATCAGCTATGGATGGGAGCGCATTAGGCTTCCACACCGCAGCTACAGAGAACAACGTCTTGAAACCTGGTGCAGAACCTCTAACTCGCCTGGGCATTGCCTCGGGAAGACCCAACCCCTCCCCGCAACCCCCCTACCAAGTGATGGGGCAGCAGGCAGCCAGGACCCGACCCGCTGGCGCGCAGCAGCAGCAGCAGCAGCGCCCACAGCTGGACACGGGGCCTCTCCCCAGAGGCCTCCCAAAGACGCACGAGCAGACACAATGGGCATCCCCACACCTGCTCGGGGATGGCCCGCCTCCCTCTCGCTGCTTTCCCGGGTCCACAGAGGGGTGCCGGGCACCCCCGAGACACTCGCTCACAACCACTGGCGCAGCGGGAGGTGAACAATGGGGGGGTCAGATTCGCCAGGAAACACACTCCAGCCCTCGCCCCTAACCAAAACAGACTGCAGAGAAGGGAGTGGGCGTAGGGGTCGCACGGGGCGCACGCAGGGAGCCCCGAGAACCGGGCTGCCCGGGGCTGCTTCCCGTGGGGCTCGGAAAGGACAGGAGGGAGCTCCGGCTGGGTAGCCCTTCACCCCAGTCTATCCGGCCTCCGGCCGTGGGGGCACCCCGAGGAGAGATCACCCCGAGGAGAGATCACCCCAGGCAGGGAGCACCCCGAGGGGCCCGGGCTTACGGAACGCCCCGGGGGCGCGGAGCCAGGTCCATCGGGCCCCCAGCGCCGCCCCCGGCCCGCGTCTACACTCTCCCCGCGCCCGCCCGGGAACTCGGTTACCGCCGCCTCCGCCGTGGCCCCCGCCGCTTCCTCCGGGGCGCGGGACGCGTCGGGCTCGCAGCTCGCGCCGTCCGTCGCCATCTTCCTGCTCTAGCGGATCCGAATGCGAGCTCGGAGCGGCGGCTCCGGATTCAGCCCTCCCGGCGCGGGCGGCGCTTAACCCGCTGCTGTCCGGGGACGCGGGCGCTGCCTCCTCCCCTCGCCGCCGCCTTCCCCGCTTAACCCGCTGCGCGCCGGAGCGTCTCCGCCCCGGTCCCGCCCCGCGGCCCCAAGGCCGGCTCGCGGCAGTCAGCGCTCGCCGGGCTCGTCGAGGTACGAGAAATGGGCACACGACCGGCCCGGTGGGCGCCCCGCGCGCAGGTGGGGCGATCAAAGACAAGGGAGGCGGCGGAGAGAGCGCCCAGGAAGCGTTTCGTTTGGCAAAGCCCCCCCAACCCCACCGCGAGCACACCGGATTAAATGTCAGGCCCCCTCAATCTGAATTCTGTGCAAGATCAAGGAAAATCCTTCACTTCAGCTCCCTCTATCCCACCGCTAGGAATCACACAAGGCACCCCTTTCTTCTTAAATTTCTTTTTCTTAAATATCATTGCTGCCAGGGCGTTTTTACCCTCCTGGTATATATCCTGGCTTTGTTTTAGTCTATCCTTGACACTAGTCCTCCAAAAACCGCCAACTCCCAGATGAAAACGACGTGTCCTGTTATCTCTTAGTACCTTGCACGAGGCTGTCAGCTCCTAACTTTCTATAAGATCCTTTTCAAGGACGGTGGAGACAGACATTTTTTGATTTTTGACGCCCCAAGTCTGATGTCTCTTCTGAAGGACTAACCAAGAAGCGTTCACTGCCATAGCCTTTAAAAGGATGCCCTCTACTTTTGAGAAAATTTTAAAAATTTCCTCTCTGCATGTGAGGACATATGGACAAACACAAAACAAAAACCTTTGTAAAAATTGATTTTATGGTAATTACAGGTCTCAGATTTTTCATGAAACAAGTGAGTTAGGCCCAAACCCTTAATTTTCTCTTCCCTCATCTAATTCAGTTCCTACCCTTTCCTGCCAATTCCCAGAATGTGAAAATCTATCACCTTATCAAGACCATATGGTACAATCCTCCCCAAATCACCAGATCCCTAAAAATGTGTTGAAAGCACAAAATCAAATTGAGACATTCAAGCTGTGTCTCAAAGAAGTAAAATCAAACCACAACCAAATCCTGCACTTGAAATTCTGGAAGATGAATGACTGGAATGTGCAGTCCAAAGGTTACAGATCAAAGCTTTTTTTTTTTTTTTTTTTTAATGGCAGACTCCTAATGAAAGGTTTTGACACTTTAGTTGCTCCACTTTCCAAACTGGATCCAAATATGACACAAACCAGGGCAAAGAAAATCTTTTCTGCAAAGACCCTGAAAGGGATTGATCCATAAACGGTAAAAAGTTCTCTTCCAGAAGAGAGGTCAAGAAAGACCTTTCACCGGTAACTCTGGGGTTAAGGGTCGGAGGCTTAGAATCACCTCCAGGTTATCCTGTGAGCTGAGGTGCTCATTTATTTATTTTCTTTGACTTAACTGATAGCCACTCCCTCTCTTATGCCTTTGGTATCCATCCCTGTTCATTATTCCACTTTCTTTTATCCAATATTCTCAGAAATTGATGAATATTAGAATAACTAGATGCCTTATAAGATGAAAGAAAAGCATTTGACAGTAAAAGTTAGGCATTAAACTGACAGTAAAAATTTAAAGTTGGAACCAAGAGCATTCCTTGTTCTTTTCAAAATGCATTTCCACACATTACAAGGAAATCAGTTTTCTTGAAACTGATGTTGAATTATTCTCCAAGAAGTTAACTGGCTCACTTCTGGAAAAAAAAAAAGAATAAAATTACGAACTTCACTTAGGAGTTAGGAACTAGGAATATAAAATGATACTATCTCTGGTAAGGAAATTCCCTTCATTTTACACATGCAACTTGATTTTAAAAAATCATCAGTGGGAAGATAGCTCATATTACTCTAAATAAAGCAGAATCACGTCACAAAGAAATCAATCCCTGAGTGGTTTTCTCCCCTTCCTTTTTTTTTTTTTTTTGGGAATGAAAAATAGACAGGTATAAAAATCACAGAACAGAGCATTTTCTCAACGCCAAAATCCAGAATCAGGATTTGATTCCACTGTAAAATTATCAGTGCTGAGGGTGGACTGAGCCTCCTGCCTATAGTACAAAGGTGGCACACTAGGGGTTAATGCCCTGGCCTGGGGCTGCTGCTCCACCCAGGAGGACACTTGCCCCTTTAAATTCTCTCCTGAGAATTAGCCTCTGTTAAGATTGCAAATTAACTCTTTCTAAAAGACTTTCCTTGCACAAAGACAAGCTCTATTACAGTCAAAGCAATTAATCTGAAAAGGTAGTGACTTGATAGCTCCAGAAATTAAAGCTTCTGAAGCTTCATTAAACAGCTAAATAATAATGATGATAATCAAAGACAGCCAGGGCTAGAGTGAAAATTTCTGAAAGGGAGGGTTAAAAAAAGAGAAATAGATATATAAGTAGGGAGAAAAGCAATCCCTATGACAAAAATGGATCATGAAAATTCATTTTAGCATTAAAACTGAAGGAGAGGTATTGACTATATTGCTAATAGAGAAAACTATTATTTACATTCTTTTCTCTTTTGAACATAATGATGATGACCCACTGACAAAAGAATTTGAGACTAATTATTTTCTGAACCCTAGAATAGTGGTGTTTGTGTTGAGCTATAGCACTGTTCCAGGGTGAAACAATGAACTGACCAGTGAAATGAGTTGTTGAAACCAGGAAGGCAGACAGTGGTTGGGGAGCCAAGTGGTTTTCTGACTAAACCATGTCCTTGGCCTCACCAGCCACATCCTCCGATCCACTAAACCAAAATCCCAAAGAGTTATACATAATGATACAATAGGATGCTTCCTTCCAGGTGAAAAGATAAAGGAACATATACATGTCCTAAAACAGTTTCCTTCGTGGGATAATAGAATTCTTTATTTCAATCAAATCACAACATTTATGTTAATTTCAAAGAGCAAACCATATGTCATCATGTCTTAGCATTGCCAAATGACAAAATTACTGAGTAGCAAATCATTTCGGACTATACCCACAAGGCTATAGTTATACAATTTAAATATTCCAGACCACACTTATCCCTGTCTACACTGCGGCAACCAGCCTAGGAAGCCCCAAATCTTGACATTAGGAACTTTGGAACAAAGAGTGCAGAGGGGCTCTGAGTGCCCTGTAACTGTCACATGTTTTTGAAATCAAGGCATTGCCAGAAATGAATTTTCATATGAACTACTACATTCCCTCATAGTCAACTTGTCATTATCTACATGTGCTTTAGGCTTTTTGTGGATTTTACCCAGTACTTTTAATTCTAATCTAGTTATCCACTCTTGTCAACAACCTATGGTTTTGGAAGGCCTCCTCCACCAACCACGGTTGTTGTGTGCCAAGGGAATGCTAGCTAATTTTACCTAAGCTAAAGCAAAACATAATTAGGAAATTAGATCTGCTATGTAGGAAGCAAGCCAAAGCTAAACATAAATAATCATTATAATCACTCCCAGACCCTTTTAATACCAACTTCAACTGGGAATTGTATCTGGTCATTCAATTGCTGAAGTCATGTCCAAATATAAGATTTTATTGAAAGGATAAAGATACCTTAAGAAAATTATTCCCTAATCCAGTCACTCTAAGAACAGAAACTGACTAACAGAGAACAATAAAATCGTGTTGGTTCAGTTCTATAGGATGTCTTTTAAATTTTAAATCATTACTTGTTGGTTTGGACTTTCATCTGCAGAAGTCATTTACAAGTTTTAGTGCAGAAGGATGTTTTAGTGCAAACATCACGGAAAAACAATTTTAACAAAAGAATCTGGCCCACTGCAGCTCCTTATTCACCTGAATTGGAAATGGATCTGAACATTTCCGTTTATTCAGCCTCTTTTTGCAACCCCACAAGCCTGCAGTATGTAGTTACTAGGCAACCACTAAAGCAGGGGTGTTTATACCATTAGGTATTAATTATAGCGGAGCTTTCTTTTTCTTAGAAAGTTTAAAAACTATATAAATAAGTTGTGCGATCAGACCCTTTTCTCCTCTGATTAGAAGTGTGGAGCCAGCTGTAAAACCAAAGCTGAAGTTTCTCTTTCACTTGGGGGCATGCATTGTTCAATACAAAAGGAAATGTAGTATTTAAAGAATTAATAAGGAAACTAAAGATGATGCCTTTTGATTTTAATAAATATGCAGATGGCATTTATGTTTGACTCAGTATTTACTTAGGATACAAAAAACAAGAGGAAAGCCATAAATGTATAACTCTTCCGTGTAAAATTCTGAAATAAACCAATACATCAACATTCTCTAGGTAATTATAATCATTTGCCATATACCAAATTAATGGAGTTTCAGATACCTTTGGAATTTTTGAAACATAAATTTTACCTTACACTGCCCAAAATCTCACTTGATGACAATAGGTATTTAGTCCATCAAGACATTTTTCAGTTAATTTAAGTCA